GTGAGCAGCTGTGTGGTGCTCAGTTGCCGACTGAGGTTAAACCACAACAAGAGGCTCAGGCAGCGATTGCTCTCTGATGACTGGGCCACCAGACGGTAGGGGTGCCTGACTACCTGCTCCGGCTGTCAGAGGCATCAACAGTACTATGATCAGCTAGCTTCTAGCACACGTGAACGTAGCTTAATCTTCTCCAGGTAACATACGTTATCTTCAGCTATTATCTCCTGTGGCCATTGCTGGTGCCCTTTTTCAAAAGTAGGTGTGTTTTTCTGCTGTAGACATGGCTGTACAACACCGCTAATATAGAACATCCATTACCACTTAGGAACTAAAGAAGGTCTTGTAAACTCTTAACATGTTCAGTTCATTTATACTTCTTTCCGTCATAATTGTTGTTACTGAAAGTTTAGAGTGCTCCTGCCAAATAAAGCAATGATTGTTGGTAGTTTAATAAATAAAGTAAAATGATCGGTTACGTCTTGCTTTGTGATCTGTTCTTCTGTCAGGTGCAATTTCTATCTAGTAAAGGCTAAATTGTGATTTGAACAAAACTGCAGGTGTTAGAAATCAGGGATGAATTTGATCTGATTGAGAGGAGTAACTGGGGAAGGATAAAGCTGTCAGAAGAGGGAACTATTTATACAGAGGAAGAGCAAAGCATAGCATCACAAAAATTGTATGGTAATAGTATGGCACAGGAAACTGGGACTTCAATTTTTATTCTTGTGTTTGTTGCATTTCCAGCGGGCTATCTACCTGTGCTCAAGGTATTACCATTTTGTACATTCTGTTATTTCTGATTTCGTTTATTTTTACATTGTTTTTTTCCCCAGTAGGTGGCCACACTTGCTAATTGAAAGAATCCACTCAGCCCTGATGGAGTGGGTTGTGTCAAAGGCAGAAAAATAGGACCTGGCCATGTAGAAAGAATACCTGTTGCAGAAACAAGTAGAGCAGAAGTCTTCACCCTTCTCTGTTTTGCCCCTCTGTTTTTTTCAGCAGAGATGCAGGTCCCTATAAATCAATTTGAAACCTGCTAACAATATACATGCTTCTCTTCGCTATCTTCCACACATCTCTTGGAAGCGGACCCTAAACGCCCTCAGACCAAAAACCTGCTCTTAGAAATGCTCTCATTTGCTAGCCTCTTTGTGGAAAAGGGAAATGCCTCACTGGCTGCTTTCCACAAGAGATGAATCCAGGTGCCAGAGAAAGCAGGAAAACATTTTTTATCTGCAGGAGCTGCTTCTATTATAAATTAGTATAGCAGGGTGGATACTGGAGAAAACTGGCCAGTAAAATGGTAGAGAAGAATACATCTCTTTCACCTATACAAAAAATACTCTACTATTAAGCTGTAAAAACTGCATCCATATTTTCACATCCTATCAGAAAAAAATAATATTCTTAAAAATGTCAATCTTGAAGTCACAGAAGTGAAACTAAAATAGTAGTGGATGAATTTGGGAAGATCTTCCCTTCATATGAATTGCCCAGTAAAAGTCAGGCTAAGTGCATTCTCAGCATGTTATGGGTGGATACACAATATGAGAAAGGGTAGTAAAAGCTAGAGTTTCTTACCTCTATTTTCTAGCTGTTTTCTTAAGTCCACAATGCAGATACAAAATGTGAACTCAAAGTTCCATGTAGATGTATCCAGCGAAAGAGCTGCCCCTTCTTCCTATAATTCTGCTCACTTTAGGAATCAGGGTCATATTCATTCTTCCTTAGATCAAAAGTTAGTTGGTGTGCAGGAAGAATATTTGTAGGGTAGGAAGGATCTGTAGATTTTAAAGATAAGGTGATAAATAAAAAAAAAATTGAACTCCATTTCAGAAAAAAAGATCAAAACTTTCTTGACTTCAGCATGAATTTGTCGTCTCTTATGTTAACAAAATCAGATATCTAGAGAAATGTGTTTTGGAAAAAGCTGAACAAAATATTCCCTTCTACAGCAGTACTTTTTCACTTGACAGTACCTGTCATTTGAAAGTTACCACTACTTGCTGACGTCCAATTCCCACAATATAGTGCCTTTTTCTGTCTTGTTCAGGCTAAAACTGAGGAATGGAAACTGCCTAAACCCCTGCATTTTACTTTCTTTATGAAGCACAAAGATCCCATATTCTGCAACACAGTTCTCATTCCGACTATGGTGCTGGCATAGATGACAGCCAAAGCACTAAGTCTGTAAGGTCTCACTAAGTCTTAAGGTCTCTGAAGGCCAGAGAACTTGATGTAAAATTTTGCAAATGTTGTGAAACTCTTGAAGGACATTAGCCATGCTGATACACTTTGCTGTTGTTATTGCCTGATTACTTTCATGTTTTTTATTCAACTCATTTACAGATAGAAAATCACTGCTTTCTATGTGCTGCACACATTCTATATGCTATGATATGACTAAACCGATGGATGTACAGAGACCGTGTACACACGCAGAGATAGAAGAAAGACAGAAAAAAGGATATTATAGCAGATGGACACATGAAAAAAAAATTTGGGAAGTTCAAGCAGAATAAAGAGATTCTGCACGTCCTCTAAAGTCAACTTCCATTTATTATTACACATCTAGAGTCATATTTAAACACAAAAAGACTGAACAGAGCATATTATTAAACTCTGCAGAAAAATGCTGAAGTAGACACAAATCCATCTGGTGAAATCATGACCCACTAACATAAATTTTTTTGTTAACGTTATCCAACACAGTTTCACTTTTGGTATTTGACATATGACCCAAGATGACATAAAATATGAAAACATGATCACTGGTAGGGCTATCTGGGTCATTTCAGAGCTTTTCTTAAACAGCCATTTGTCCAGACTAGAACAGAAGAAACTCTTCTTCACCACTAACATTCACAGACCTGTCAAGCCCCAAATACAGTAACTGGAACTCAGTCATTGGATTCCTGCCGCATGCTCTCCTGCCTCTATTTCATACATTCACAGTGAATCTTTGCTGTTTGCTGACCCCGTATGTCAGTGTCAACCCACTATGAACAATTTGGGAGTTTCACAAAGCAAAAGAGACATACTATAGCTCTGTGTTGCTGTCAGAGAGTTAGTCAGCCAGTAGGAACCTCACGCACGTAACACACGCTTTCTAGCAGCACACCAGTATCGTAGCTCTGCTGTTGTAGGACCTGAGTCTCAAGAGTGTGTCCATCACATAATCCGAAACGTGGACCGCCTATACACTTAACAGACAAAAAGCATGTGAGATTTGCATTCATGCTAGCAGTTGCAGCAAAATGGCCTACATATCTTAAGTCTGCTCAACGGATTTTGAAGAGAAAAATACTCTCGCATGAGAAAATGAAACTTTATCACTTTTGCCCCCTTTATATTAGTGCAATTATATCACATGAATATAATTCCTGCATCAAAAACTCCATTCAGCCTTGAATTTCAGATACATTTGCTAATCTGAAAGATTATTCTGGATTTAGAAAGTATTTATTTATTTATTATTAGACTTACAGAACATCTGATCCCTTCATATGGAATGTCACAGTTCTTTTCGGAACATTGCTGCATTATGTTTTGTATTTTCTCTCATTCTTCCTGTGTAAACTGAGCACGTGGTTTCACATTACACCTAACCAAAGTTTACTGCCAAACAGGTGGTTCTTGGCTCTTTTTCTTCTCTGAACTCATACTCCTTTACTCTCATTTGCACCAGATCTCGTCAGCCTGCAGCCACAGATGAGTTGGTTCCATCAGCTGAGCCAGTAGAAAACCATGTCTTTTGGTGAATAATTTTTGCGTGACATCAGTGGTTGATCCAACTCACTCTGCAGCTGTAGGGTATCACGACTTACTCAAGAGGTGCAAGCTTGCAGCTGGAAACGGAAATGGCCTAGGATCATACCTTCCATTAGTGGCTCTTCATTTGAGTGGATTAAGCGAAATGCCATGTATGACATGAGCATTTCATCTCTAAATTGAATTTAAGTTCAAGTCATTCTAAAGATTCACAGTGTAATATTTTCATTTTTTTCATCCCAAACTGTTCATGTATGTACTGGGTCTGGCTGGGATGGAGTTAATTTTCTTCGTAGCAGCCCGTATGGTGCTGTGTTTTGGATTTGTGACTAAAACAGTGTTGATAACACAGCAACACTTCAGCTACTGCTGAACAGCCCTTGCACAGGGTCAAGGCTTCCTCTTTTTCCCCGCTTTGTAGTCATCCCCACCCAGGGGGTATGCTGGGCGTGGGCAAGAAACCTGGGAGGGGAACACAGCCAGGACAGCTGATCCGAATTGATCAAAGGGATATTCCATATCATAGAGCATCATGCTCAGCAATAAAAATTGGGAGGTAGAGAAAGGAGCTGGCTTCCAAGATGACTGCTGCTTGGAGACTGGTTGGACATTGGTCTGTTTGTGGGAGGTGGTGAGTGATTTCCTTCGTATTGCCTTCCCCCCCTCCTCTTTCCTTCATCTATTAAACTGTCTTTATCTTGACCCACAAGTTTTCTTGCTTTTGTTCTTCCCATTCTATTCTCTGTCCCGCTGCAGGGAGGTGAGTGAGCGAGCAAGCGAGCAGCTGCCAGGTTGGCTGGATGCTGGCTAGTGCTTGGATATATGTTTATAATGTATATAGTAAAAACATCTGTTTATCAGGATTCTGATGTTTTGCTCAGCAAATCCCGCAGTCTAGTTGAACATACTGAAACCAGTCAGAAGGTTATGACAAATAAGCAGTGCGTTAGGGCAGGATTACCTGATTTAAAGGGCAACTCTTACAAATACTCTGAAAGGCAGTCTTTACTGTAAGCTTCAGCAAACTCAGAGCTCAGAAAACTCACGTACTTTCAAACACATTTCTCTGGAGCTAGTCTGGCATTCTACATCACTGGTGAACTCAGTCTTTTTCACTTCTTTTAAGTTACATATTAGCCTTACAAAAAGCATTTATGTAAGTAATTAACTTTTACTTTGTAAAGCAGAATGGTGAAATTATTACTCTGAGGCCAATTTGCTAACAATGGAAAAGTACATGGAAAAGAAGAATTTAAGAAGATTAAAAGAAAAAGAACAGTCTGGTTTTATTCCATTCACTTTAGTAATTTTTAAAGTATTGATATGTCCATACTAGGGAAGGGAAAAAAAGACAAAGGAAAACACAAAAGCAGACAGATTGTTGATTTCCCTCTCATTCTACAAGGCCATCGGCTGTAATATTTTACAAGTAATGCGGTATTTCTAAAGCAGCATTAAAGAGTGGAGATGATTAAAAAAAAAAAAGGCTGCGACATGATTGATTATAACTTTCTTTCTGTTCTCAGCATATTTCTGAAGTAGCAGCAACAACAGAAGATAAATCTGCATTGGCAAGAGGATTGACTGGACAACTAACACTAAAGTCATGTATTTTATGAATGAATGGCATAATGGAGCCTCAGCGCTAGTATAACACTGGCCATAGGCTTTCCCTAACTTAATTTTTGCTTCAATTATATACATGTGGTTGAACTAAAGCATATTTAGAGAAGACAGCAACATCAAATCTTCAGAAGATAAATCTGCATTGGCAAGAGGATTGACTGGACAACTAACACTAAAGTCATGTATTTTATGAATGAATGGCATAATGGAGCCTCAGCGCTAGTATAACACTGGCCATAGGCTTTCCCTAACTTAATTTTTGCTTCAATTATATACATGTGGTTGAACTAAAGCATATTTAGAGAAGACAGCAACATCAAATCTTGATTCAGTATTTCCAGTGATGGAGTATCTAAACGATCTTCATTAAATTGTACCAATGATTAAATACCATTATTGATAAACTTACTAAATGTCTTACCGATTCCGTTTTTTATTTCCTTCAAGTGCCAACTATTAGACCTTCTTAAATCTGCTGGACTGAAGAAACACTAATTGTCACTGTTTTTTTTCCTATACAGCCCACTTATAGTCTGTGACCAAGTGATCCTTCCCCTTCCCCCTTACAAGGTCAGCAGGTCTTCACATCTTGCACTGTGAGGCAAGTTTTCCAGTCTTTTAACCATTCTTAAAGGCCACCCCTAAATTACCCTTAATTTTTTCAGCATTATTCCGGCTACAGACACAAAGGCACACAGGATTACAAAGGCTTCACAAAATACACCAGTAACATGGAAAATCAGTATGTCCAACAATCTCTAGAGCAAGGTGTGTTGTTTAATATTTGCAAGTATTAAGTCAGATTGTTTGTATCCACCTACTAAGCCATCAAGACTCATTCTGTGTTAGCAACCTGTTCTCTTTAAGTTTTAGCACTCTCCCAATGACGAGCCTATCCCTAAGGCTTTATCAGTGGCCGTTCAATCTTTAAAAAGTTTGGTAAATTCCCAGTTGTAATTCAGATTTTCCTGTGCAGTTCCTTCTTTCAACTTATTTGACTAATAGCTTCGGAAACTGGTTCTTTTAAAGCATTAAACCAGGACTCTCCTGTCTGTGTGATACCCAGCTCCCACCCCTGGCACCTCAGCGGCCCCCTCAGGCTGCACTGCACCCGCAGTCCCTGGAAGACAGGCACGGAAGATGCCCGGTCGCTGCCAGAGACGCTTCTCCTCGGCGTCGAGGAGAAGCAGGAGGTACGGGACAGCCGGCGGATCAGTCGGGCGAAGTTCCCACCCTGCTGACC